CACACCCAGCCTGGGCTCCGGCCTGGGGCAGCTATCGCTTCACTCTCCCACGAAGGGGCTAAAGTCCCACAACTGCCTTCCCGATAAGCACAACCATCAGCTTCTTCTTCTCCCTCAAGGGGCTGCCCCACCGCACCCCAGTGGCAGCACTCTCAACTCTTTCGGCTGCCCGTGCCCCCCCTCTCGCCTGTGGCTGGCAACTCCTCTGCCACCCCCTTTGCTCTGCACTGAAGGTGCACTCTCAGCTTCCTCTGGAAAGTGGCATCTCCTTCGAAGCTTTTGACCCCCGCTCCTAACCCAGCTTTTGCCATCAACGCCGGCCAACATTAGGTGAGACCCGGCTCAAAAACAGCCACTGTGAGGGGGACCTCGGAGTCTTGGTGGACGATCACTTGACTAGGAGCCAGCCCTGTGCAGCAGCAGCCAAAAAAGCTAACACAATCCTGGGTTGCATAAACAGAGGCATAGAATCAAGAGCATGCAAAGTATTAGTACCGCTTTATAAAACCCTAGTGAGACCACACTTGGAATACTGCAGCCAATTTTGGTCACCACATTACAAAAAAGATGTTGAGACTTTGGAAAAAGTTCAGAGAAGAGCAACTAAGATGATCAAAGGCCTGGAGGCTAAAACATACAAAGAATGGTTGCAGGACTTGGCTTTGGCCAGTCTAAAGAAAAGGAGAAACAGGGGCGACATGATAGCAGTATTCCAGGATCTGAAGGGCTGCCACAAAGAAGAGGAGGGGGTCACAAAGAAGAGGAGGGGGTCACGTTATTCTCCAAAGCACCAGAGGGCAGGACAAGAAACAATGGTTGGAAACTGATCAAGGAGCGAAGCAACCTGGAATTAAGGAGAAACTTCCTGACAGTGAGGACAATTAACCAGTGGAACAGCCTGCCTCCAGAAGTCGTGGGTGCTCCATCACTGGAGTTTTTTTAAAAAGAGACTAGACATCCACTTATCTGAGATACTATAGGTCCTCTTGATTGAGCAGGGGGCTGGACTAGAAGACCTCCAAGGTCCCTTCCAGCTCTATTCTATTCTTCTTCTTGGAACATGTGTGGGGAGGACTCCCTTGCCCAGCCTCCCTGGCGTGGCCTGGCTCCCAGGCATGCTACATGCCCCCTACTCATCTCTTTCCAGCCACCAACAGCCTGCAAAGCTCCACCTTCAGGAGTCTTAACATGTGTGCTAGACTATCTATTACCTACCTAAAGCAGAGCTGGGGAACTATGGACCCTTTATGACTTGTGGACCAACTGTTCTGAAGTCCACTAGTTCTGCTGGCTGGGGAATTCTGGGAGTTGAAGTCCACAAGTCTTAAAGTGGGTTGATGAGCTGGCTGCAGCCATAATGCATGTGGGCCCCAGGGTGTGAGAGGGTGAATATAGGAGGACAACAGCCCCCCATTCCCCTTCCTTTTCAGGACTCTACTTCGCAGGGAATGAAGAGCTGGCCCTTTAAGCAGGGGCTCAGCGGTTTGAGAAGGAGGGGGTGGGCAACAGCTGGGCAGCAGCAAAGGGAGAAGTGCAGGTGGCATATTCCAAGGAGGGATTATGTAATAATGAAGAGCAAAAAGGAGAAGTGGAAGCCTGATGCCGAAGCTGCCAGAGAAGAGCAGGGTGCCACCAAAGATGGCGCAGGGTGGCAAGAGCAGAACCACCAGCCAGAGACCCTGGAAGAGGCTGGCCAATGACGAACCAAGATGCCCTCTGGAGTTGGAGGCTGGGGGCCCAGCAAACACAGGGCACCTGAGCCTGGCATCTGGGAGGGTGGCACACCTGAGGTTTTGCAGTGCTGGCAAAGGCACCCAGTGGTGGGCAAGCTCCTAGGCCAGGGGTCCCCAACCTTGGCAACTTTAAGACCTATGAACATGCTGGCTGGGGAATTCTGGGAGTTGCAGTCCACGAGTCATAAAAGAGCCCAGGTTGCCTACCCCTGTTCTAGACAGATGAACTTGAAAGCCGCCGGAGGAGGGAGCTTCGTCGGAAGGGATGACCGAGACCTGGTGCACAAGATGCAACTAGGCGGAACCAACAGGAAACAGCATCTCACATTTTGCATAGAGGCAAGGGGGAAACTACCAGAAGAGTCCCACAGGGAAAGCCAAGAGGGCAAAGAATTGATCTGAGACCACAAAGATTTGAGCTTCACTAAAATATATTCCGCGGGGTAAGAAAAGGTCAAGGAGGAGGAGGAGGAGGAGGCCAACTCCGCCTCCAGGAAACTTTAGAAGCCAGGAAAATAGAAAGACTCTCTCGAAGAGCATAAGCTCCGGATGGAAACACAGCTGGACTCCAAAAAGTAAGTGTCATGCCTGCCATCTTCAGCGTATGCCATAAAGCCCAGGGGAGGAGATTGGGGAAGTGGGGCACGGGCATCGGGAGGAAAAAGAGGGGGGGGGGGAGAATGACAAAGAGACAAGCGGTGTCAATCCGGAATAAACAGAGGACAGAGCATGTGAACGGAGTGCACAACTCCACCAAGCCTCAAAGCCGTTGACAAAACATCAGAAACCGAGGCTAGCAGAGACCCTGGTGGATGGACTGGTCGTGGGGGGGGAGGCTCTCCATGGTCAGAGGGCCAGCCCCCCCCTGCATCCCAAATGCTTCCATTGGGATTCTCCTATTTGTATTTATTATTTCCACTTCAAGGCTGTCCACAAATTACAAAGAAACAGTAAATATACCAAGAGGCAAGCTAGAGCAGGAGGGGTGTCTACCGTGGCCGCTTTAAGACCTGTGGACTTCAACTCCCAGAATTCCCCAGCCAGCAGAGCTGGCTGGGGAATTCTGGGAGTTGAAGTCCACAGGTCTTAAAGCGGCCACGGGTGGACCCCCCCCGGAGTCAAGCAGCCCCTCTGAGCCCAAGGTCTGGCAGGCCACGAAAGGAGACCCCCAGAGGGGGGCGAGGGGAGGGTCAGCCGCCGCCACTCCAGCTGACCCGGCCGGACAAGCGCTTCCGAGTCAGGCGAGGCCTACCCCGGGGAAGAGCAGCGCCTCGAGTCGCCCTGGCAGCCGGGCAGCGCTCCCCACCCCTCCCCGGCCCTTCTTCGCAAGAGGTCGGGGCCTTCCGGGAGGGCCCCCATGGCGGAAGGCCCCTGGTCCCCTTAACGGACGGGCAAGGCATTGTGGGAGCTGTAGTCCGGCCCAGACGGAGAGGCGCAAAAGAGCGCGCAGGCGCGGGGCGCGCGCAGGTGTTCAAGGCAGCAGAGAGGGAGGCGGGGGGGCAACAGAGCGCCACGCCCCCCGGCCACCCTGCTCCGCGCCGCAGCCGCGAACCAAATAATTCACCCGCCCGCCCGCCCGCCGCACCCTCACCTGGGCCGCCCCTCTCGTGCGTCGCCGCCGCCTCCGCCGTAGCCAGAATCCCCCGCCGGAGCTCCGCCGCCGAAACGCGGACTCGCTCCAGCCCCGCCGCCGCCATCTTGGCTCGCCGAAGCCAAGGAAACAAACGGCGGACGGTGGCCGAGCGCGGACAAACCGGCCCCGGAGCCTCAGGGCGCATGCGTCAGCCGCGAGAGGAGGGGCGGGGCCCGGCGCGGGACTGGCCCACGTGCGTCGCTCGCTGCTGCTGTTGCTGCTGGTCGTGCGAAGCGGGGCGGGGCGAGCCGAACGGCCGGGCGGGGCTTCTCCAGGCGCCCGCTCGGAAGAGGCGGCGGGTCCCGCGTCCCCGCACCGCAAAAGGCAGCAGGGCTGCTAGGGGCTTCCGTGTCAGCGCTGGTGGGAGTCTTCCTGGTGGTCCCTGGATTAGGTTGCATGCTGTTAAATTACCGACAAGGCAAAAATTCACTATCCTGACACTGATGAGGTTACCTAGTCGGGTCATGAAACGTCTGCAAGGAAACCACCAGGCTCAGAGAGCACCAAGGACCCCACAGTCTGCCTCCCCCCTTCTAACACTGATGACGTTACCTAGTCGGGTCATGAAACTACCAGGCTCAGAGGGCACCAAGGGACCCCACAGTTCCTCCTCCTTCTCCTCCCTTCTAACAGTGATGATGTTACCTAGTCGGGTCATGAAACGTCTGCAAGGACTCAGAGGGCACCAAGGACTCCACGCTCCAGGTATCTCATGAACCCAGCACTTAATCGTCTGCTTGCCAGGCTCTCTGTGTGGTGCCCCACGCACTGCCTCTTTCCAAAGGCAAAGGAAGCCAAAATGATTCGGAAGTCCTCATTTTATTGCAAGTGCAGGGTTCCTCTCCGTGGCACGCTGGATGCTTCCTAGAAGCCTGCTGGAGGGTTGAGAAACGGGCCTCGTGGCTGGACAACCTATGGCAGCCCAGACTCCGTGGGTCTCGAAAACGGGCCCGCCTCCCAATTTGGTACCTGGAACCTTGTTCTGCCGAGTGCACCGACCCCAGGTAGCTGGAGGAAATCACTGGACCCCCAGCTGCTTCCAAAAGGTCCGCTTCCTGGTTGTGCAGCTGCCCCCAGAGCCCCCTGCCCACAATTCAGAGCCGCTCCAGAGGAGGGCAGGAGGCTCGGGAAACCAGGCCAGGGAGGAGGTGGCTAACGAGCCGGGCGCAAGCTGGCCTGGCAAAGGGAGAGGGCCGAGTGGGGCGCGATGCCATTCAAACCCCAGAAGGACCAGGGCTCGCTTTCTGGTGCCCCCCCCTTCCCCCCGAGTGGGACCGATGGACATACAGGTGACAAGGAAGATGGAGCCACAACAGGGAGGCCGGTTTATTTAGTGAACAAACACACCACCTCACATCTGGAAGAGTCCACACGCCTTCGGAGGAGAGCTTTGCGGGTTCCACCCACGGCAGCTTTGCTCGAGGTGCCCCAAGCCGGGAGGCCGGTGGCCAGAGGGCAAAGACGGCCAAAGCCCGCTCATCCCAGGGTTCGGACGGGCCCGTTCTGGCCACAGTCCAAGATGGAGGCAGGGAGGGAGGGACACTTGTTTTCAAACCTAGAACTCGTGTCAGCCCTTGAGGAGTCGGGCTCCCGGGAGGGAAACAGTCCAGAGGGCAAAAGTGGGGAGGGGGGCTGGCTTCCTAAGGCCGCTCTACCAGTGGAGGCCAGAAGGGGGCGTCTTCTCATCCTTATTGCTTTCCAGGGAGAAGGGGGGGATCCGGACATCGAAATGGGAGCCGTCGGGCCGCTCAAAACGGAAGGTGCCCCTGGGAGGGAAGGAAGGAAGAAGCCCAGGTGAGGCCCCCACGAGATGGACGTACGACCACAATTGAGCTGAACATTTTCCGTTGCTAAGTGAGTTTTGCCCCATTTTAACGACCTTTCTTGCCACAGTGGCTAAGTGAATCACTGCAGTTGTTAAGTGAATCTGGCTGACTCGACTCGGCCAGGAGGTTGCAAAAGGGGATCCCGGGACCCTGGGACACAGCGACCGTCATAAATGTGAGCCCCATTGACAAGATGTGAATTTCGATCACGTGACCAATGGTCGTAAGTGGGGGAAATGGTCCTAAGTCACTCTTTTCAGTGCTGCTGTATCTTTGAACAGTCACTAAACGGAACGGTTGTTAAGCCGAGGACTGCCTGTTCTTGGCCACTATGAAAACGAGGCGACGCTCTGTCCTACGAACAAGCTGGAGGAGGGGCCGGGGTTCCCGAGAGGGCCCCTTCCGTGTGACAGGGGACCTCGCCCCGTGCTCCGTCCCCACACCAGCTGCGGGCGGCCAGGGACCCTAACCCTCACCCTCCTGTCCATCGGGGCCTCCCACCTGCCCCTCCCGGCCTGACACAGGAGGTGGCTGCCGGCCGAGCTCTCCCGGCCTGAGACGCGCCCTCTTCCCTTCCCTGCTCCCCCAGCCGGTGCCCCCAGCGCCCCCGAGGCTCACCACATGTGCCCACTGGACGCCTGCAAGGAGACGTGGCTGCTGTACTGGAAGGCCGGCTGCTCTTTGGACAAGACGGGCTCCTGGGGGGGAGAAAAGGCGGTCATGGCCTCCCCGGGGCTGCAGCCGGGCGTGTGGGCCTCCCAAAGGGCAAGTGGGCTGAGCTCACATCGGCCGCCAGGATGTCTTTGCGCTGAGCCTTCAGAATGGAGGGGTCCACAAATGGCAGCTTTGAGACTTGTGGACTTCAACTCCCGGGACGAGTCTCTACCGGGACACAACCGCCCTCCCCTTACTCACTCGCCCCACAACTCCCCGTCCACGGACGGTCTCCAGGGTGCCGGACAAGCTGAATATCCTCCAGTGCCGTTCACGGAGCTGCACAACTTCGTTGTTGAGGTTTTCCAGGCGGATGCAGTAGCGCCACTGGACACGAGGCAGAGAAAGCGGGCCCCGAATCAGAGGGGCCGGGGCTCCCCTCGCCCTTCCAAGGGCAGAAGAAGGCCCCTCCGGACCCCCACCCCACCCAGCCAGCCACAGAAACAGGGAGACTCACCCAGTAGACGTGAGAGTTCTGCGCTTCCTGTTAAGAGAAGAGAGAGAGGCCGTTTCCCATGGCTGAATGCCAGCTTGGCCCCCAGCCTGCCCAATCTCGCCCAGCTGGCAGTGCTGCCCCTTGCGAGGTTCAGTCCCTGTATCGAAACTTGAAAGGGCCGACACGGGGCCAAGCAGGTGGGGACAGAACCAGCCAGAGTGGGCTATTCTTATTTTTATCTAATTATCTGTCTTGCACCAGAAGGCAGGACGAGAAACAACGGATGGAAACTAGTCAAGGAGAGAAGCAATCTGGAATTGCCACCAGAAGTTGTGGGTGCTCCATCACTAGAGGTTTTTAAGCAAAGACTGGACAGCCACTTGTCTGAAATGGTGTACAGTCTCCTGCTTGAGCAGGGGGTTGGACTAGATGACCTCCAAAATCCCTTCCAGCTCTATTTTGATTCTTTCTTTCCTTTCCTTCCTTCCTTTTCTTTCTTTCCTTTCTTTCTTTCTTTCTTACCTATCTTCACCTGTTCATCTCTTTCTCTCTCTCTCTCTCTCTCTTTCATTTGCAGCTGACTATGAGTCTGTTAAGACTTGGAATACTACTGAATATTTACTTGTTACTCTACGATTAACTTGCTTTCTTTTTCTTCTTTACATTCTAGTGTTTTTCCGTTTACAGCTAGTCCTCCACTTTCGACCAGTCGAGTCCAAAATTTCTGTTGCTAAGTGAGACATTTGGTGAGTTTTGTCCACCTCTTTTTTTTTTGCCACAGTTGTTAAGAGAATCACCGCAGCTGCTAACACGGTTGTTCAGTGACTCTGGCTTCCCCCACTGATTTTGCTGGTCAGAAGGTTGTAAAATGGGATCACGTGACACCCCCGGGACACTGCGACCGTCATAAACATGAATCGGTTGCCCAGCACCTGAATTTTGATCACGTGACCCACAGCAGTCACCGCAGCGGTCGCAAGTTTGAAAAACGGTCACAAGTCACTTTCCTCAGTGCTGCTGTGACTCCGAATGGCCACTAGCCCCCCCCCGGGACTGTGCTCTTCTCCTGGGTGTTGTCCTCTACCGCTGCCTTTGTCCCCCCCTTCTGAGGCAGGGGGAATGGGGGGGCAGCACCTACCCGCATGCCCATGTAGAAGGGGATGACCGTCACCCGGATGTTCTCGGTGGTCTCCCGGTGCACGTCGGAGAGCTCCAGCCACGGGTGGTTCTTCTCCTGCCAGGCGCAGAGCGTGTCCCTTGCCACGAACGGGGGAGCTGAATGAAAGTTCCAAGGGGAAACGGTCAGGGGAGAAAAGGCCGGCCCACGGAAACACCCCCACCCCCCAACCGCGGTCTGGCCGGGTGACTGAGCAGCCGTCAACCGCCATAAGCGTGCAGGCGGTGATCACGTGACCGTGACCGATTTTTATGGCCGTTAAGCAGACCCTCTCTTTGCTATGGGAGACCTTCTGTCAGAAAGCGAACGTAAAAATGCCGCTCTCCAGCAAACATGTCCTAAATCGAGAATCAGATGAATGCAGGACACTGCAAGCAACCATAAATGTGGGCCAGCTGCTGAGCCCCCAAAGTGCAATAATGTGACTGTGGGTCAAGGGGGGCTCGCGGCAATCGGAACCCCGAATCCAGGGACTTTTAAGTGTGTTTTGTGGAGTCCCTCACAACTTGTCGTAAGTCGAGGACCCCCCGCAAGGGTAAAATCAAGGGAAGAAGCACGCTGACCCTCCTTGGCTCTGGGTGAGCTGAGGGGGGAAGAACCAACAGCCTCACCGCCACAACCTGTGGGGCCCACCACCATCACGGGCCGGTTGGGGAAAGTGCTGGGCCTCGACCTGGCCGGCCACGTGCTAAAAATGCGTCAGGGGAGATGATGGGCCCGGCTGGTCCTTGACCTACAACTGGTTGTTTAGTGACCAAAGTTACAACAGCACTGAAAAAACCTGCGGCCATTTTTCACACTTATGACCACTGCAGCATCCCCGTGGTCAAAATTCAGATGCTGACTCAGACTTATGACGGTTACCGGGTCACTTGATCCCCTTTTGCGACCTACTGACAAGCCAACGCAATGGGAGGAAGCCAGATTCACTAAACAGCTACTTGCTTAACGACAGCTGTGATTTGCTTAACGGCCACGGCAACAGAGGTCGTGCAGCTCACTTAACAATGGCCTGGCTTAGCAGTGGGGATTGTGGACTCCATTATGATCCCAAGTCGAGGGCTCTCTGTGCTGAGGGGGGGCTCGGAGATCCCTCTCGGCCTGTGGATTCCTGGAGTAGGTGGGGAGAGACCCTGCCCCCCCCCAAGGCCAGCCCTGCTCCTGGAGTGGGGAGCGAGGGGCGAAGGTGTGTGTGTGTGTGAAGTACCTTTTGTCTGATCGTACATGAGGAAGCGCTCGAAGAGCTCGTGCTGGATGGGCACCTGGTCCGTGGAGGTGTAGGGCAGGATGTCCTCGTGGCTCACGTAGTCCAGCCCTGGAAAGGGACCCAGAGGAGGGGCAGGTGGGGCTCACCCACAAAACCCACCGACTCATTTCACAGGCTGAAAAACTCTTTTCAGGCTCCCAAAGCAGCCAAGTAGGGGAGGGCAGCACCGGAGAACCGGGACGTGTTAACCTCAAATCCAGGCCGTCATTCTGGCTGTGTGTCACAACCCAACTCTCTCTCTCCCCCCTCTCTCTCCTCCCTCTCTCTTTCCTCCCTCTCCTCTCTTTCCTGCCTCCCTCTCTCACGTTTTCTTGCAGACGTTTCATGACCCGACTAAGTAACATCATCAGAGCCAGTGATGATGCTAGCACCACTAGCTCTGATGATGTTGCCTAGTTTGGGTCATGAAACATCTGCAAGAAAACCACCAAACTCAGAGAACACCAAGGACCTCACAGTCCTCCTCCCTTCTAGCACTGATGATGTTCCCTAGTTGGGTCATGAAACGTCTGCAAGAGAACCACCCAGCTCAGAGAACACTGAGGACCCCACAATTCTCCTCCTCCTCCTCCTCCTCCTTCTAGCACTGATGATGTTCCCTGGTTGGGTCATGAAACGTCTGCAAGGAAACCACCCAGCTCAGAGAAGACCAAGGAGTGAGCCCTCATTTCAACCCTGAGCTTCAAAGATTCTCCTTTATTGGTTCCTATCTTTTGGTCAGCAACTGCCTTCCTGTTAAGTCTGATGGCCACTGTTCCACAGCTGGCCCTCTGGAACCGCTCTCCCTCGGAGCCCCCTCCCTCCTTCAAGGGCGCCAAAGGACGCTGCCACCTTCTCTTCGGGCTGAGCGTTCCCAATTTCTCACCCTCCCTTTGGCTTACCTGGGATTGCATAGAGGGCTCGACTGTCGTCGTGGTTGGCCAAGAACGTCACGGCTTCTGTTTGGGATCTCTGAGACTGAAGGAGAAACAGAAAGGGCGGGAGGTGGAGCTGCAGTCTGAGACACGCAGGCCCAGGGGGACTCAGGTCCGAGTAACCCTGCGTGAAACTGACGGGACGGTGCGGCCAGGTTCCAACTGTGTGGCATTCGTGCTGGACTTTCAAAAGCTGGACCGTCTGCCTCCACCCGTTGCTGGGACTCTCGAGTGCGGTGCTAAGGGGTCTCCCCATACCCAATGCCCCACCCCACCCCGACACAGGGAGCTGCCACCCACAGTGTTAGCAGCCGTGGCCTCTCACACTGGGAGGGACTGTTGGGCAGGCTTTCCTTGAGGCCCACTGCAGGGGGGTGGGGGGGGGAGGCAGCTGCTCGCAGAATGTTCTCACCCGGAGAAAGTTCACTGTCTGTTTCCACTGCTGAGCTCTTAAAGGTCTCAGTTGGTGTTTTAGAGACCCTGCTTTTCTTTTCTAATTTCAGCATCTCAAAGGCTTCATCTACTCCTATTTGCAGAAGGAGATGGCTCTTTTCCACTTCCTTTCCAAAGACTCCCCACTGCCAAAAGCTCGCCTACCCCGTGCTTGGCACGTGGCTGGCTGGGGAATTCTGGGAGTTGAAGTCCACGAGTCTTAAAGTGGACAAGGCTGGAGAGCTCCAGCCCAGAAGGTCACCTGGTTTTTACAATCCAGATGGATGAAATGCCCTCCAAAGACGTGAATTTAATTGCCCCACCTTAGGCTGCTTATAAAAAACGAGGGACATCCTCCATCTTTGCCCCCCAGGGATTTGTCAGCTGAAGTAACTTTGATTTTAGTCATTTAAATTTAAGCTGCCCTGTTTTGTGCCTGTAATTTGTAGCTTGCAAGTTGCTGTAATCCCCCTTGCATATTGTGCAGACACTAAGGCGGGATCTAAATTTTAAAATAAATACGTTTAAGCTTTCTGAGAACCGCAAGAGAGAAGGCAGGAGATGTCGCTGATGTGGGGAACTGCGTTTCGTTAACAGCACTCCTGACAATCGGCTTCCGATTTAGCGGGTCAACAAGAACATCGGAAGGTGGGACTCACCCACTCCAGGGCCAGGGAGAAGAAGGGAGGGAGACCCCTCACGCTTCTACGTCAGCAGCCTAGTTTCGGGGGGATGGGATGGGACTCCCCACAACTCTCTGCAGCGCAGAATGTCCAACTAGGTACGGGTGAGGGGCTCGTCCTCAGGAACAGCGATGTACTCCCATCATCATCCATGCCACGATGGGCGGATGGAAGGAAGGAAGGAAGGAAGGAAGGAGGGAAAGAAAAGGAGAGGCGAGGAGAGGAAAGGGACGCAGAAGCACTTACTATATGTGGGCAGTCGCGAGCGTCGATCAGCACCTGATAGTAGGTGTGTGTCTTGCCTTTCACTTCTTTGGATCCATGTGCAGCTCCAGACTCGCTCCTGCAACGAGACGGGCCAGGCTGAAAAAGCTGCCTCCTTAGCAGACTGTCAGCAACCAGTCCTCGACTTAATGACCATAACTGAGCCCAACACTTCTGCCGCTAAGCGAGATAATGGTTAACTGAATTTGTCCCCTTTTACGACCTTTCTTGCCGTCGGTAAGCGAATCACTGCAGTTGCTGAAGTTAGTAGCAGGATTGCTAAGCGAATCTTCCCCCATTGGCTTTTGCTCGCAAAAAGGGATCACCTGACCCCGGGACACGGCAACCGTCACAAGTACAAGTCAGTTGCCAAACCTGTCTGAATTTTGATCACGTGACCATTGGGACGCTGCAAGCGTTGTAAGTGAAAAGTGGTCGTAAGTCCCTTTTTTCAGCTCCGCTGTAACTCTGAACGGTCACTGATGGTTGTAAATAGAGGATTCCCACCACTGTTCTAAGTGCTCCCTCGCCTCTGCCACCTCAGTGACCGGCAACCCCGAACAACTGCGAGACCGCTTACTTTTCAGGCACAGCAGAAGCGACGTCTCGGTCGTACAACCTGGCTTGCCAAGGAAAGAGGACAATCCCCCGGTATCCGAATATACTGTGGAGAAACAACTGCAAGAGAAGGTCAAGACAGGC